CATAGCCTTTGCTTCTTACCCCCAACCTTGTACACTGTTACAGTTTCCAACATCAGTGCTTCCTGTGTGACTATTTCCTTCACCAAATTAGGAGCATTTTCTTTCATTATTTTTCAAATAGATTTTCAATTTCTTGCTCTTTCTCCTCTCTTTTTGACACCCCTATGATGCAAATGTTGGACCTCTTGAAGTTGTCGCAGAGCCTGCTTACACTGTCCTCAGCTTTTTGGGTATTTTTTCTTGTTGTTTTAATTGGTTGTTTTTTTTCTTCTTTATGTTCCAAATCATTGATTCTCAGCTTCATCCACTCTACTGTTCTGTAAATTGTTCTTTATTTCAATGAATGTATCCTTCGTTTCTGACTGGATCATTTTTATGCAGTTGGCCAGGTTTTGGGCTGGGTCTCATAGCTCCCAAGATATCTCCCCCAAATTTTTATCTACCACACGTGGGTGTTAGGCCAGCCTGTTTCACATCTGCACCCCTACTTCCAGTCTGGGTGGGTGCTGTTTCTTTAGTTCTGTAGCTGTCAGACTTCCAGTCAACTTGATTGCTAACAGTTGTGAGTTATTCTATATTTTAGGTGTAATTTCGATGGGGTTGTACAAAGAGGCAAGCCATGTCTGCCTATGCTGCTATCTTGACCAGAAGTCTAACACTTTTTTTTAATGCCTTGCTATATAAACGTCTCCATCATTCTTGGTTTAGGAGTAGATCAGACATGTCAGGGTGTGGAATGACTGCTGAAAAATCAATAGGGGATCACCTCCGACAGCCAAGGTCAGTTCTCCTGAGGCCTGTTCATTTTCCTAAACATGATACACTTACGGATTTCACCAAATGCCTTTTCTTTGATTTGGGATTTTCTCTCGTGAAAATAACATTTTAGTTTAACCACTAAAAGCAACTGATCTCTTAATTATATAGAAAAATCCCATGGGACCTTGTTCTTTAAATACAACATTTTCACATGAGTTTTGGAGCTTTAGTTTATATAATTTCCTCCAGCTCTCACTGTGTTGTATGAATTGAGAAGTTTCTCTCTACAGCACCAAGTCATCTTTATAAAAACCTATAATGGAGTATATTTTGGGCATCCTATTGTCTGTTTAAAAAGATAATATAGAAAAATCTCATAGTTTTAAACAATTTTTTCCTTTCAAGAACTTATAACTAAACAGAAATCAAAGTTTACATTGTTTTTCTAGGCTTTTATTATCAAAATATTTCCTGCAGCAGTAATGCCCAAAACTTTTTGAAGTGTCACCTGCAAAACTAATTTGTTAATTTAATTATTTTGTGTTTATTTTATAGTACTCTGCTTTATTTGGGAAGTATATTAGCATCAATAGTTACTGTGGCTCAGCCCTGACTGGTGTGGCTCACTGGATTAAGTGCTGGCCTTCGGACCAAAGGGTCACTGTTTCAATTCCCAGTCAGGGCACACACGTTTGGATTGTGGGTCGGGTCCTCAGTTGGGGGCGTGCAAGAGGCAACTACATATGATGTTTCTCTCCCTCTCTTTCTTCCTCCCTTCCTTCTGTTTAAAAATAAATAAAATCTTTAAAAATAATTTTAAAAATAATAATTACTGTGGCTCATAAATGACTATATTCGATACCCTCCAATTATTCGTACTGAAAACTATGCAAAGTAGTTTGTAGGGTTCTTTGGAACCCACAGTTTAAAATGGGAATGGTGCTTTCTTGATGTTCACAGTGAGTGGTAACTCAGCAGCCATGCTGTTTTGCACATCTCTCCCCTATCAGCTGCTAGATCCTAAGACAGCGGCTGACTGGATTCCTTTCTCTTTAGATTTAGTTGTTTGCTAGAAATTGAGCTTTTGAATTTTGCAGATTCTTTGTACTCCTCATTTGAGAACCATTTAAATGATATTGCCCAAAGGGCACACAGAGAAACAGCGTGACAGACTTTCGGGAAATTAGTAAGCAGCAGAGTTATTTTTAGCTTTTACTCCTTGCAAACATTTCCTTTTGTTCTTTAGAAGACATTGTTCATCTGTTCATTCACTTGCTGTGCTCTCTCCCCCATGACAAGATGGCTTAGATAGACTAAGCTCTCTCTTCACTCTTCTGCATGACATAACTGTGTTCATTCTTACTTTATTCCACTTTAACTCATGACATACTCATTAATTCATGTTTTTCTAGGTTCTGAAACACCACCACCAACACACACATGCATTTGGTTGTTATTAGGGGTTGATTTTTCCCCCTCATCTGCAAATACTGACTGAGAAATAATCATACAAGCAGGATATACAAAATGTATATTTTTGTCTTTACATAAATGTGTGTGTATATACACATTTACATATATAATGTATGGCGGTAACTGATGGTGTGATTTTGCCTTTATTTGCTGTTAGTGCTTTTGTTTAAACTATAATCCTTAGAAAATCATGCAGTTAGCATTGTAGAACCCCAGGTCCAGAATACAATGTTATGAAGGCTGGCATTTTCACATCACCCTCATGTTTGGTGTTTGAAAAACCTTCAGGTATACATAGAGGAAGTCAGATTTCTACAGAAGCATGCTGAAACCACACTTACTCGTCACATAAAGGCAAATTTGATAGGATTTTTCTGCTTTAGATCCCCTCTAAGAAAACTTGGTCATTTTGTAACATTTTTAGCCTTTTATTTTATTTTTCACTTTTTCCCCATAAGACAAAATGGCATTACTGCAGTTGTGGTTACAATTGCGGGCTCTGGAGTCAGACCACATGGTTTCAAATCCTAGTTCTGTTGCTAATTGCGGTATGCCTCAGTCCTTGTCTCAAACGTGGAGATTACAGTGTTTACTTCATACAGTTGCTTTGGAATTCAAATCAGAGCATTCATATGAAGGCCTGGCATAATGTTTGGCATAGTAAAGTTTCAATAGATGGTAGCTGTTACAACTATTATATAACTTTGTTTTATCTAAATGTAAGATCAGTTATTTTAGAAGATTATATTTGAGAAAGAGGCAAAATATTCAGTTTTCTGGAACCCTTCCCCTGTAAGAATTTTTTATTGGGATGTCCTCAAACACAGGTGGCCCATTCCAACACCCACCGATTTCAGTTTCCCTTGGCCCTTTGGGATTTGCAGCTCTTCATATCTAGAATCAGCACAATTATAATGGGAAGTCAAGCAAAACACTTTTTTGTGTATAAAGAGAGGAAGGCGGAATGTGAGATGGCGTTGACATCTGTGCTTCTGCCCTGGGCCAAAAGCTGATTCGGTTATTTGCTGCTGCGTCGGCATCCCATCTGCTCCCTTCTCCGGTGGTTCAGTCCTTTTTCCTCCCCCTACCCTCTAAGCCCTGGGGATGATGAAGTCAGGGAGCAAAGACTGAGATCTAGAGGTTCTGAAGTGGAAAACAAAATAGAAGTCCAGGGAAAGACAACAGAACAATAACCCCCAGATGACCCTGCTGGGTAAATGCTAAGTCTCCTCTGCTAGTGGCAGTCTTACAAAAATTCTTTGGATGGTATGAAGGTTAAAAAACAGCAGCCTGTTCTAGTGAAGTCCCATCTTTCTGCTCAAGAGCTTTTCTGACTTCTGATTCTACAATTTACTAAACGTTCCTTTAAAAAAAATAAAAGCTTTATTTTTAAATCTTAGCCCAGAACCTCAGAAGTACTTTATTTTTACAAGATGTCAATGTAAGGAACGTTTAAACCTATAGAGAATTTTTTATAAGAATTTATTTGAGCCAAATTGAAGATATGCCAGGAAACATAATTTCAAATGCTCCCTGCAAATGACAGTTCTGATGTTCTTTTAATACATTTGGAATTAAGGAAGGAAGTAAGGAAGATTACATGAAGGTGGGAAAAAGCATGGTGGGAAATCTCTGTGATTACATTACAGGATGGTAAACAGATTATGTCCTCCCTCTCTCTCTCTCTCCCTCTCTCTCTCTCTCTCTCTCTCTCTCTCTTTCTCATTTATTCATTTAGAGAGAGGAAAGGGGAGAGAGGAGGGAAACACTGATTTGTTGTTCCAGTCAAAGATGCATTCATTGGTCATTTCTCATATGTGCCTTCACTGAGGATTGATCCCGAAACCTTGGCCTATTAAGACAATGCTCTAACCAACTGAGCTCTCTGGCCAGGGCTATGTGCTGTCTAGATGGTGGTCTTCAGAGGGGTCTGAAAAAGAGGCATTTCAACATTTCAAGGTGTATTAACCTAGATGCACAAAAACAATGGACAGGGCTTGCTTAAGACAAACATAACCTTTTACTAGGGCAGTTATAAGCCTGGTGCACAGCTACCCACCTTAATCTACCCAGTTAGAAATTTATGATCAGATCACCCTCTGAGGTTACTTTTGGTCACTAACTTATTATAGCACCCCTTGTTCATTCACAGAGGGGTACTTTAACTTTTGAGTATATTCTTTGTTTCTCTTTTCCTTTGGCTGCATCTTACCTCTCTTGCCAACTAATATATAGCCCTAACTCCCACTGAAGTGGCTTCTCATTTTTAAGGTAGCATCTTCTGCACAATCTGAGAGGTAGAACTCAGACTTTCTATAAACATAGTTATCTTAAACCCACTCATTTAAAGTTGAGAATACAAAACATCACACATACTCAAAGAGTATCTGTAGTGTTATAATTTAACTCTATAATACATTTTGACTAAAATTTAAGTAGTTAAGTAGTAGAGAAAAATCAGCTTAGAAATCAGTGAGGAAATCATGATTTTTTTCAGTTATGATTGATGAGTAATAGTTCCATGTTTGTTTATAATTGAAAAGAATAAAATATTACTTCAATATAGAGTAGTTTGGGGGGTTATCTTCGTGCTGCTTGGCTGCTGTGTTTTATTTTCATTCAAGTTTGAGGTTTTCTAACCCTTCATTAAAAGGGGCAGTTGATTCTGATTCTGACTTAAGCTTTAGAGAATCTTGTTTATAAAATTCATCACCTATTTCTTTTTCATTCAGTGTTTTTTTTAAAAGACCTCTGTGTTTACTTTCTAGACTGATTTTGCACGATTTAGTGGAACAAATGTGGAAACTGACTTCGTAGAAGTGCCATCACAAATGCTTGAAAACTGGGTGTGGGACGTGGACTCCCTCCGAAGACTGTCAAAACATTATAGAGATGGAAGACCTATTACAGATGATCTGCTGGAAAAACTTGTTGCTTCAAGGCTGGTCAACACAGGTAGAACTTGTAATTTTAGAGAAGGAAAATAAATTAGAATTGCTTAATAGAAAATTGCTGGCCTCTCCCATAGAACTAGCTCCCCTTTAATAACGATGGTGCCCTAAGAGTGCTAATATGTGCAAGACCATTAAATATCTTGGAATACCAAACCCTGGGATTATGTCCAAGAAAAAAAATACAGCTACTTGTGAATCTTAAGTGAGAAGTTTTGCTTCCATTTTGTAATGAGTACTGCAGGAATCAGTTTTGAAATCTATCATCATGTGGTACTGGAACACACAGTTCTCTTCTACAAAACATGCCCAAACATTCTTATGTTGTTAGGTCTTCTGACCTTGCGCCAGATTGTTCTGAGCAAAGTTGATCAGTCTCTCCATACCAACACAGCTCTGGATGCCGCGAGCGAATATGCCAAATACTGCACAGAAATTTTAGGTGTTGCAGCTACTCCAGGTATGTAAATACTGTTCTGACTTGAGTTCTTTTTTCCTGTGCAGTGCAGGGTATACTCCTCACACTGCCAGGGCAGGTAGAGTGTGTCGGGCAGATTACCTAATGTAATTTGTTTCTGACTTTTGTAATCAGGCCGTGACTTTCAGGTAAGCATACTCTGTCCATAGTATGAGTTATCCTGTCCAAATGTGCTGGGAGGATAGGTGGCTCCAGCTTTTGCAGCATTTTAGTGTAATCAGGTGTGAGCAGTTGGCCTCCAACCCAGAGCACAGAAAGTCAGTCACAGTTGGCAGCGCCCGCTCGACTCCGCCCTCCCCCTGTGCACCGTGACTTCCCAATGCCGTCAGTGAGCAGGTAGCAGAAGGGGCGTTTTAGAGAGAAGCACTGCTGCTGGGTTTTTGACTCTGCTTCCCAGATGGAGTTTGACTTAGTGGTCTCTGACCTGACACTCGTGAGATTCATGTGAGTAGGTGGATAGCTGCACATATGTGTGCTTACATTTATATTTATATATTTGAAACTAACATGCAATTTTATTTACATGCAGTTAAGACTTTTTTTGCCAATAAGTTGTTATATAAATGAATCGGTCCTATTCATAAAGATAATGAAGGTCAGACTAGTCATCGAGTCATCCAGGCTTCGCACTTCTTTCTGCAGCCTGTTTGTAGTGGACCTGGCAGCAGCTCTGCACCTGAGGCCACTTTAACACAGTCTTTTTCAAAGTAGCCCTAAAGGTAGATTAAATTGGTAAAATCTTTTTAGCTTTTCACGTAAAGTGTTCATTGCCCATGATTATGAACCTAAAAATAAGTGCCATTCTTTAAGTGCCATACTTTAGATGTAAAGAGGTGTGACAAAGAATAGGCTCACTACTGGAGTATTTGTAAAACTCATGTGTGTCTAAGGCCTGAGAAAGGACCGAGGGGTTCTGAAACCCTGAGCTATCTGATGGGTGTGGATGGAGCCTCTGAAACCACTGTTCGGCATTCCAGCACTAAGGGCCGAAACCAGCCCTCAGGTTGAGCCGTCACTGGAGAGAAGCTTGTAAACATCTTGACCAAGGGCACACGGAAACCCAGTGTGTACTGGAGGTGAAATCCTATCTCCCTGACCTCCCACAGCAGGACTCCCTGTAGGGAAACCTTAGCCAGCTGATAACCTGGTAATTACCACTTGCCATCACATTGATTGAAATGTATCTTTCTTTAAAGGCACAAATATGCCAGCTACTTTTGGACATTTGGCAGGGGGATATGATGGCCAATATTATGGATATCTGTGGAGTGAAGTATTTTCCATGGACATGTTTTACAGCTGTTTTAAAAAAGAAGGAATAATGAATCCAGAGGTATTGTATTTTTTTCTCTTTTTGTTAATTTTGTAGTTGTTTTCTCCCCTTTAACACCTAGTGTAAAATATTTATTACACCTACACATAAAAGTAAGAGATTTGGTAACAGCTTTTAACTTTAAAGTTTTGCATCTTCTTAAATCATCTTACATCAAGTTGCAGCAAGTGATGAACTTTAATTCTACAAGTTAAAAAAAAAAAGCCTACTGCATTTTCTTGCTTATTAGCATTCCATTATATTGCATAATTAAAATTCATAATTCATTTAATTATTGCATAACTGAAATGCATAAAAGATTTGTTTATGCATTTGCACATTTATAGCTGCTAGTTTTGACATGTGCTATGCAGTGTTTTGGCTTTATAGGTGATTGCGTAAGAAAGCTAAACTCCTTCCTGATATACATGGTCTGTTTATGTTTTGATATTCTCTACATACTTTCCTTATACATTTTCTGTGGAAGACACCCTTTCTCTGTGGCCGACATACCCCACCTACAGCATAGTTTGTAACCTAAATGCCTTCAGGTAATTTAAGCTGCTTCATTAACCTGAGCCATCTTCCGTGTACAGCGAATTGACTGCCAGGTGGCTGCCAGCCAACCTTCCTGAGTTACAGTCCCCCAGTCTCTGCTCTTGTAGAAGCCTCAGCTATCAGATATTTTCTAGGGCTGATGCATTGTCCAGTGTATTTTTCATTCTATTTGATTCAGAAATTGGAAAAACAGATTATCAAAATCAGGCTCTCTGTGCTTATTCAACCAACAGATGTGTTCCTCAAACTTTATGTTTCAGGACTCCATAGTACCTTACATGTATGCACTAAGATATCTTGATGTAAGTCAGACTACCATCCCTCCCAGACCCCACTATTGCCCCCACTACCACCACCACAACAACAAATAATAATAATAAAACACACCTCTAGGGTACCTGCATTCTATACACTAACCTTTCAATGACTGTCTTCCATCCCACCCTACCTGAGCTATTATTTCCCTTTAAATCTCCCCCCATTCTCTGCCACCTCATGTACAATAGCAATAGTCAGCCACTGACTTCTGCATGACCTTCAGCCAGTGCCCAGCCCTGGATTCCTCCACCATGTCAAGGAGTGATGCTGCCCTTGGGATTCAGAGTGTTTGGGGGAAGATCATATGACTCCATTAACATGCCCAAAGTCATGCTGTCCAAGCTGCACTGGAAACCGTGCTGCTCTGAAGCCCTGCTCTAGTTCCCTTGTTGGGTTCCCCCAAGTCCCCACCACCTCTCTCTTCTCTGGTGATCCCTCCTCTCTACTGAGAGAAAAGTAAGATCACTGAGAGTGAGTACCTTCATCTTTCTTTTTCTTCTGCAGATCAGGGCTCCTTTTCTTCTGTCCCAGAGGGGATTCCTCTAATACTAAGCCTTCCTAGTTTTCCATCTTGAAAGGAAACTGGGATTATTGCTATTGATTCTCATAACCTCAATGCTATATGGCTCTTCCTTTCACAGTCTCATTTCTCACTATAAGAAACAACCTTTGCACCCTCTATTTCCTTGCTATTACCTCCATCCACTGATCTGGAAAGTTATCTTTCCTCCAACATTACCACTGAGGACCCAATCACCAACTTTTAAAGGCCCTCGTCTACCTTTTATTTTTTTTGTGTGTAACTTATTACTTCTTGTTTCTTCTCTCTGTTCACAACCCTAAGGTTAGCAAATTCTTTCCTTAGTGCCCAGAACTCCCTGTGTGTTAACTGAATTTCTGTGTTCCTGTAGGTCTTTCCACCTTGCAATTCCTTCATTCTATTTCTTCCACTTAAAATGTATGCCTTCCAAAAAAGGGTATGCCTTCCTTGTCCATGCCTCTCAAAAACTTTACCATTCTTACCCTGGCTTGTGTAGCTCAGTGGATTGAACACCGGCCTGCAAACCAAAGGGTCACTGGTTCAATTCCCAGTCAGGGCACATGCCTGGGTTGTGGGCCAGATCCCCAGTAGGGGGTGCATGAGAGGCAACCATACATTGATATTTCTCTGTCTCTCTGACTCCTTCCCCTCCCCTCTCTCCAAAAAAAGTAAATAAATAAAATCTTAAAAAAAAAAAACAACCCTTTCTTAAAGACCATACTCAGATGGCCACTCATGTACGAAATCTTCCAGACCATCAAAACCGAAAGTGGCCTTCCTACGCTCTGAACAGAACAGCAGATTTGGGCATACAGGAAAGACTTCAGTAAGCTTTTCTCGTGTCTGGAAAATACATTATACAAAATGAAAAAAATCAAATTATAAAATGTTTCATACCATAGGATGCAAATTTTTATTTTAAAGCATATGTTTAGGCCCTGTCAGGTAGTTTCAGTTGGTTAGTGCATTGTCCCAATATACCAAGGTTGCAGGTTTGATCCCCAATCAGGGCACATACAAGAATCCCCAATGATACATAAAATAAGTGGAACAACAACTCACTGTCCCTCCCTGCCCCCCGCCCACTTCCTCTCTCTCTTAAAATCAGTAAATAAAATAAAGTATATGTTTAAGGGAAAAGTTCTTGAAAATGTCAATTGTTATCTTTGGGTGATAAATTTATGAGTGATTGTTAAATATTTTTCTGTACTTATATGGAGCTTTTTCTTTTACATAGAATATAGATTACTGTAGAAATCAGAGAACTCCAATGATTAAAGAGATACAAGATATGGAAGTATAAAGGTACAATTATGACCTCTTATAGGCTCTCGTTAGTTGGTGAGGTTTCCTGGTGTAAGTGCTACTGCAGTATCCTCCTTTCCCTCCTCTGTGCTTCCACTCTCATGAGCACACCCCAGTCCCCTCCACTGCGCTGTTCTCAGTCAGCTGTCAAGGCGATAGCCAAAGGACAAGGTACGGATCCCAGTGGATCCCAAGGAACTGGCACATCCCGCAGAAGCAGTTCTGCCATTATGTTTCTGAACTTCCTCCTATTCTCAAGCTTCACAGCTTGGCAGGCAGCCAGACCACTCTTAATTTAAACAAAGGGGTTGGGTTGAACTTGAAGAACGCAAGATTCCCAACAACTTGGACTTGTTTCCTTGTGATGTTAAAAACAGTTTTCAATTTTACTGAATTTTGGATCCAACAGTTCTGTCTACTGTTGCTCATCTTATGCCACGAAGCTGGCTTAATTCCTTCTTTTTTCTTTCCTGTCAAATACTCTGGAACATCACACCATTTGTTGCCCACCTGCTGTCACAGCACTAGTAATGTGGCTCCAGTACCCAAGAGGAACCCCTTTGCACCCGCTGCTCACACACTTTTATGGTGGGTACTGGACCAGCTTTTGAAATAGCCATTTTATTCCCTCCTACAGTGTCCTGTTTGGTGGTGGTGGTGATTGTTTGTATTTTTACAAACGTTTGCTCTGAAATGCCACCTGAATTTACAACATTCAAATACACACTACTAAAAATTAATCTTTTGCTGTGACAATCCTATTCTACAAAAAAATGTAGGTCATTATTACAACTGTGTTGTGATGAAGAGTAAGAATTTTTATGATATAAAGAGAAAGAATTTTTATATTGTGATGAAGAGACAGAATTTTTATTGCTTCAGTTTGAACACTGTGTTTAATCTGAAGTCATGGGAATCGAGTAATCACAGTATATCAGGCAGAATCATTTGCTCAAGGCCCTCGCCCTTTCTGGCATGTATTTTTATCATTTTGAGAAGATAGCAGGTCGGCCTTTCAAGGAGTTAGTACCTCCTATTCTTAGCCTCCAGCCTCTAGAGAGGCTGGGTACTGAAAGATCATGAATTGTTGGCCTCCCTGGTCACGGTCATTGGTGTCAGCAAAAGAACATCGCCAGGCCTTCTCTCTGTAACCTCTGGCCATCCTGCAAAGCCCAGACTTGGCTCTGAGAACCATTGCATTTCTTAGCAAGCAGAGCTGTGGAAAGACTACAACTTACCGGGAAAACAGTAATAGGAAGGATCAAATATAAACCTGCAGTCTTTTGAATGTCATTTGGTAGCAATAGAATATTTTATGGTGCAATTATCTCCATTGTATTTTGAGGGCTTCAACCCAAGCGTTAGAACAGACCACTTACCTATAATGGCCTAAAAGTTTGCTACCTCTGCTTTTTTATGAAGTTTTTTATATTCCTCATAGTAAATAGAGATAGCACCTTCACTGTTTTAGTTTGTTAAATGTTATCTAAAGTTTTTATTTCTAGTGGAAAATGGAGAAGCCACATTACCAGACATGCCTTTAACTTCTCCATCTAGTCTCTTAAATAAGTGGAAGGGAACTGCTTGGGATTAACACTTTCTCAGTAAGCTCTAAGAGCTCTTTAAGGATAGGTTTAAGGTCACCAAATACAGTTTCAAAATCCAGCAGCTAATCATAGGGTTGAAAAAATGGGGGCTTTTAACTAGGGCCATTTCTTTTTATAAGGCAGCTTCATTGTGGGAAAGTTTCCTAAGAGGTAATAGACATTGTGGATTCAAAGGCAATTATATTGTTAAGCTGAAATGATCTTCCTCCTCTTTTGCATGTAGAGAAATTGCTAAGCTTTGTTTTCTCCATCAATGAAGTAGAAATACAACCAAGTATCACTGCTGAAAGGAATACCAAGAAAGTCAAGATAAAGTGTACCTATTATAGTTTAATGTGTAATTCCATAAAGAAGCAGCTAGATCTTACTTACAATAACAGACCAGACACAGAAACACAAAGATCTTGGTTAAACATGAAAAGGAATTGCCTGGCAGAGAGTGTATACTATAAAGCTAAGTAGTCCAGTGCTTTTCAAAGCAAAATCCAATTCCTGCTATAATGTATATTGCTAAGGGAGAATGTGAAATTTCTTCTCCTGACAGTCCTTCAAATGGATTAACTTCCACTACATCTCTCTTGACCTACCCAAGGGCTGAGTTCTCATACACTTCAGCCTCTTCTAAGGGAGTTAGATTTTGCCTAATTCAAAGAACAAAGAAAGGAAAGAGGATTGATTTCCAACCAGCTTCCTGGATATTTACAAGGCCAGACCTTCTAAGTCTTGAATCCCAACCAGCAAGAAGCAGTTTTTCTTCCTTTGAGTTCTCACAGCCCTTTGTGTTTCTCGTAGATTCCTAATAACTTGCCTTGTTAACTGTCTATTTCTTTATCTCACCTCCTAGATCATAAAGTCCTTGTAAAAGGAATCTTTTTTCATCTTTGAAAAAGGTTTTATTCATCTTGTGTTTGTTGTCTGCTTCAAACCTGCTACATTTTATCAGCACTGTTACAAGTGTGTACCTCCTTGGACCTAACTGGTTCCTCCCATCTACTCCCATTCCTATACCCCCCAACACATACTACTAAGCAGGGTACCATTTTTCTCCCGATCTTCTCCCTCCCCTTACATAAAGATTTATCCTTCCATCCTCACAAACTGAAACTTTGCTTAAGGTTTCAAGAAGGCCACTTCTAATCAAGCGAAGATTCCTACCACTGTTCTCATTTTATCTCCCTGACTACCAGCACCATTCCTTTACTGTCTCTCTCCTTCTTTGTTACTGTCAAAGGTATTCTTTTTCCACCCACAATCTCCCCACACTCATAGAAAACAAAGGGTGCACTGTTGGGAAGGAAATTGCAGATGGACGTTAGAAGGAAAGATTGCAAAGTCCACTTTGAAAGCAGGCTGGTTAGCCTGTGAGGTGCCTGATCATCATCCCTTGTCCTTGGGTGAATGCTGTCTGTCCCGAAGTCTGTCACTCAGTGTAAGAAGGAGCCAACTCCAGCTTTACTCCCCAGAGTCAATCATAATGAGAAGGAGAAACAGAGGGAGGGAGGTTTGGAAGGCAGTGAGAGTTTGTACATGCTGCTTCAGAGATGCCAGAGATAGCAGGAGACCCAATCTGTTTCCCATTGTTATGGTATTCTCATTATTGATAGATGATGGACGTCCTTCATTCTGATAGCTATGATTGCTCTTAAAGTCTTACCTCAAATAAAGGGTACATATTCTTAGATCAAATGAGTGCCTTGTCTCTCCTACTTAATATAACAATTCCGACTGAATTATATATTCCAGTTCATACTAATAGTGGAGATGCAGTCTCTTGTACTTTTTGTTGTCTTAAGTAGGACACAGAAGTAATCTTAAGGAAATACCAAACCAGGAACCCGTTTGTTTCCCTGAACTTTACATAAGAAACTGAACTTAGGAGCATTGTGAAAGGGAAGGAAATGAAAGGAGGGATAAATGACTAAGATTTACTGAACACTAAATGCCGGCTCTTCTAGCAGGGAGTAGGCAGTGTACTGAAATCATCCCCTCCAATTCCCCACACACTGTAAGGTAGGCATATTCCCATTCTACAGGTAAGGAAACCAAAGCCCAAGGTCACATAGCTAAGGGTGAAGCCAAGAGTCAAACCTGGGTCTGACTCCAAAACTCCTGACCTGGCAATAGAAAACATCCCTGTTAAACAGGACTTGCACCGTTGCCAAAAGACACTTCAGCATGAAAAACCACAGAGGTGACCGATGGTGATTTTCCTTCACAGAACAGGTAACAGGCGCTCTTACTATATGCAGATCCTTCTGAAGGAATGTTTTAGCATGAAAAATGTTAGTGATTGTCTTAGAGCTCCTCTTCCTGCTTTCCTCCAAGTTGAATGTCTTAGAGCTCCTCTTCCTGCTTTCCTCCAAGTTGAAGTTCTTTACTATGTAAACAAACTAGAACAACTTACCGCAAGGACTCCTTCCACCTGTGGCGTAATTCTCCCAGACCATGTTCTCTCACCCAGAGGGCCCAGTACCTTCCTAAAAATGCAAAAATTCACTTAACATTTTTTTTAAGAGAAGCAAGATCCTATTACCAAAATGACTCAAACTCTTCTCCAAGCTTCATTGCAAAGGAAATGAAACTATTAAAAGACCATTGCTCTGTAATTCAGGAAATTGAATCAGCTTGTTTGGAGCTCTGAGCAGGGGAGGACCAGAGCTGTATTGAGCCACCTACCGTGAGACTGCACGGCAGGCAGGCGCCCTGCTCTGCAGTGACTTCACTGTTCCCAGGCGGCGTGAGCTGGCTCTTCACAACACCACGCAGCCAGCTCCAAACTTGCTTTCCTATTTTTTTTTTCCACCTAAACTACAGCTCTCTGTACAAGATATGTCAGCATTGGGATAATTTATTTTTTACATTATTTAGATTTTCACAAATGTTCCTGTCATATTTGTGCAATGACATGTCTTTTTAATAAATAAAAGATTCTTAGATTGTAAGCACTAAGAATTTCTGCAGATAAATGTTAATAGTGTGGCAGCTGGACAATAGGTCCATGAGGGTTCATCATACTGTTTCCTCTGCTATTAGTATATACAATGTTTCCATAATAAAAGGATTAAAATATTTTTATTAGTCTGCAGATAAGTTTAACTGAATAATTGTAAAAAAAAACCCACTAGATTTTGAGGACTCACACTAAAAACATCTCAATAATTTTTATATTGATACATGTGATTGTAGATATGCTGGTTTAAATAAAATATATTATTGTGAGTAATTTCACCTCTATGATTTTTACCTTTTAAAATGTGATTATGAGAAAATTTAAAGTTCTGTACATGGCTCACATTGTATTTCTGTTGGACAGTGCTGCCCTAAAGTTCACGGGAAAGGACCTGTCGGACTCATCATTTACTCCTGATTAGGGTGCAGACTGTAGAGTTGGTTGATAGACTGTAGATGATTAATAAGGTGATGGTTTCTGTTTATACCAAAAGATAACCCCAGAAGTTTTCATTTTATGACCCTCTAGATATTGCATAGTTTTGTATCTAATTTGGTAGATTTTGTTCTTTCGCATTTTATTTGTTTAATATTTTTTATTATTTGTTGATTTTAGACAGAGAGGGAGGGAGGGAGAAGGAGAGAGAGAGCAACCCCAAATTGTTGTTGCACTTACTTGTGCATTCATTGGTTGATTGTTGTATGTGCTTTGACTGAAGATCAAACCCGCAACTTTGGCATATGGGGACAGTGCTCTAACCAACTGAGCTGCCCAGCCAGGGCTCATTCGTCCACATTTCAGTTTCCTCAGCAGTTTGACTAGACTTATGATTGGACCAAACAGGATCATTGTTGTAAGTCAAAACTTAGAGTACTTTTGTCTATGGAAATTGTCTAGCTATTCTTGTGCTCAAAAAGGTTCTGGGTCCTATTGATCAAATGATATAATGGACATAAATTTAAGAATGTTACTCTGTGAACTATTGTTTTGTGTGTATATTTAGAATTATGCTTCACTGAATTGTCTTGCCTCACTTCCCTAAAAGGACGGTGAAAAGGAAGTGAAGATATTGAATAACATGGATATTGAGTTACAGTTCTTTTCTTTCACTTGATCTGCTCATGTGATTATGTAAATAAAGGCAGAGGAACTGTGGTATATTTTTAAATTGCAGATCTGCTCCCCAAAGAAAACTTCACAAAGCTCCTCATTCCCAGCGCTGGGCCCACAGAATGTCTCACCCTACACGTGGGCCATGTGCTATCCCTACCGCCCCATCGTCCACAAGCATTAGTGGGTTTTTTATGAGCCTCTCATAAAAACAGAGCAGAAGCCGTTTGGCAGGAGCTGTGTCACCGTTTCCAGGTACACAGAACCCCTGCTTGTGGCCTTATTGAGCACTTACTTTGCTGACCCTTCTGAAATCGTATTTGAGAGGGAGTAACACATAGGAACCTGTTATACATTCCATCTGGCTATTTTTTGTTTGTCTGTTTGTTCACATTGTCAATTCACTGCTGAGAATCAAAGGCAACAGGACAGTAATAAAGGGAAGTATAGAAGACCAGAGGTCTAAGCACCATATCTCTTAGCTACCAAAATAAATACATACTGCAGAGGCCCAGCCCCAAGCAAAAGAGAACATCCAGACAGAGTAGACCTAAAGTCCCTTTTGTTTGCACCCCTACCCCTTTCTCTGTTGCTTCTAGGGATTGGAAAATCACTGTGACCATGAATTGTTAGGCATGATGTTTTATTTTATTAGGTTGGAATGAAATACAGAAACCTAATCCTGAAACCTGGGGGATCTCTGGACGGCATGGACATGCTCCAGAATTTCTTGAATCGTGAGCCAAACCAAAAAGCGTTCCTAATGAGCAGAGGCCTGCACGCCCCGTAAACTGGGGCGCTTTGGTAGCCGTCCGTGTCTGGAGGACAAGTCGACATCGCCATGTGTGACTGGCCTGGAAACTGAAGGGAGTTTTGCAAATGAAAATGTAGATTGCTATTGACTGCCTTTTGTTTTTCGGTTTGAAAAAATTATACAGATGTAAATGGAATTATAAATACAGTGACCTAAGACAAGACCCACTTGAAAATAATTGAACTATACAATTTCATAAAAATAGATTTGATTTCTTTTTATAAAAGTTTCATGTGACTGTAATTTGATTTTTTACTCTTGTAATCTAGATAATATAATGTAAGAGGGATCAGAGTTTTCAAATGGAATCATATACATTATATAATTTGGTCCTTTGTATATCTTGCAGTTTTTTACTTGGGATTTCTGGACATAAATGAATCACCACATTCCTCTGGTGAACATTTTCTTGGAGCCCTGCATCAGTTTTGACTCTCTGCCTCGCAGTACAGTGTGACCTCCTTGACGACATACCTCAGGGCCAGGGGATGTGCCTCAGTAACACATTTATCTTTGTATTTCATGCCTCGTGATTCCAACTTTCTGCCACACTTAAATTATGTTCCTCCATGTGGGTCTGTCTTATCTGTCCACAGTCCAGACGATTATGAATTCTAACTAGCCTAATGTATATTGCACGTTTTTGTATCTTGTATTAGAGGATTTGGGATCTTGTATTAGAGGTTTTCAGTCTTTTGGCATATTTGCCAGTGAGATCACTAAAGCAAGGACATGTTTCTCTTCTCGTGGTTCTAATAAGTGGTGGGGACTTTGCCCCCTTTGCTGCCCACCTCACCCAAAGTGGCTGGTACGCGTGTCACAAATGGCTGTTCAGAGAGCCAAAGCTGATGCAGAGCAACTGTTCAGACACTCCAGAGGAAGAGTGGCTTCCAGACAGAAGGATTTCGGGACAGCTGCTCCCGAGCATTACGTGTGTGCTCAAACTCAGCCGTGGTCAGGGCAGGGGGGCAGGGGGCGGTTCTTCCGTAGTTGGTTTTGTCTGGCGATTTTTATTTTCAGTGACCCTTGGGATCTCTCTTCAACTAAATATAGGCCTAAATTCCAATTTTGTAGCAGACCAGTAAACTCACAGCACTTATTTTTCCTCTGGGAGTATGTCTACTCAATAAGAAAACCACAACAGAACAATAAAACTTCTTAAATGAAAAAAACAAACTAAATGTTCTCTATGTAAGTCTTCTGGTCGCCTCCCACTGTGTACCTGAGGCATGACTCGGGTGGCCGGGCACAAGATTGGAACTTTGCTCTTGTCTAGTCCAAATGGACTTGGTGTGAAATAAAAAATATTATTCTGCATAAAGACAGCAGGAAAAATCAAGAGCTTTAGAGACACAGAAGAAAAATTTCAAGATTAGTATTGCCAAGCAAATACCTTAAACATCCACAGGAATCCGACCCTCCCTTTGGAGATGATTGCCTGGCCCCTTTCACTCCCACACTCAGTCAGTGTCACCGCCTCGGGTCCCCAAACCCGTTTTTTTGTGGTCCTAGCAACCTGTGGTACTTTCTATCTTTTCTCTTTTCCAGACTGTTCCGTTTTTCAGTTTCAGACAAAAACTCTCTTCAGCTTTTTCTATTGCCCAATGTATCTCCTTAACAATAACTTTATCATTTTAAATCTTAACTTATTTCACCTGGAAAAACTAGTGCTTGGTATAAAAAAAGCTGCACACAATAAAGCTGCATTGCTATCCACAAGAATAAACTCACATTTCTTTCCTTCGTTATTGTATTTCTTTAACTTGATTGGATTTATTGGGGCACAGGTTTCAGGTGTACAACTCGATAAAACATCTGCACACTGTCTTGTGCATCTCTCACCCCAAGCCAAGTCTCCCATCCCTATCTTTCACCACGTTGCCCACCTCCACCTGCCCCCACCTCCCTTTCCCTCTGGCTGTCACCACACTGTTACCTGTGTCCGTGTGTTATATATGTGTGTGTATGTGTTTGTTAATCCCTTCACTTTTTTCCCCCAGGCCCGTGCCTGCCCTCTCCTCTGACAGCTGTCTGTCTGTTCCGTGCATCCATGCCTCTGTTTCTATTGTGTTCATCAGTTTATTTTCATTAGATTCCACATGCAAGTGAGATCATAGGGTATTTGTCTTTCTCTGACTGGCTTATTTCACTTAGCATAATGTTTCCTGGGTCCATCCATGCTGTCACAAAAGGTAAGATTTCCATTATTACCAAATTGTATTCCATTGTGTGAATGTATCACAGCTTTTTTTTTTTTTATCCACTCATCTACTGGTGGGCAGTTGAGCTGTTTCTGGGTCTTGGCTATTATAAATGACACTGCAATGAACACAGAGGTGCATGTGTTCATTCAAGCTAGTGTTTTAACATTTCTTTTGTACATTAATGTGGCCCGTGTGACTCGGTTGGTTGGACGTCATCCCACAAACCAAAAAGTTGCAAGTTTGATTCCCGGTCAGGGCACATGCCTCGGTTGCATGTTCGGTCCCCAGTCAGGGCACACACAAGAGGCAACAGATCAATGTTTCTCACATCGGTGATTCTTTTCTTCTATTTCTCTCTCCTATCCGCTCTCTCTAGCATCCGTAAAGAAAAAAAATTTATTTAAACTCTTAAGTACATAAGAGAAATAAAGTGCTGTGGTGTTCTTTTTCAGGTTCACGTTCAATATTAAAATTCTACCAAAGAACAGCAACAAAATCAAATACTCACAAGGAAAATATTCTCTAGCATATTTTAAAACTAAGGACTAACTTTGTAAAGCCTGTTTGAATGTGACCATCCACATGCTTGCTCTTTTTTCCCCAGATCAGAACGCAGAGTGTCAGGGAGGCACTCTTCAGTGGTAGATCACTATAAAAATTGTCATTGAACAACCTATAGTTCAGAGTTGTAGACTGAGCCACACAATACAGTCTCCCTTGGTTACTGATCCAGGAAATTTGGGACTGTTTGAGGTTTTGTAGGACCATCATTATGGTGCTAAGGGCAAGTTCTTAAATATATTATGTTAATATATATTAGGCTTGATTTCTAAAAGTTCAATTTTAAAATGCTACAGTGAAGAGATATACCACCTAATACAGATGTTATGCCACCTGATACAGATTTTTTCCTCTGATACAAACATTGCCTGTTACCTAAATAACTGAACATTATCTTGAAGAGTCATCACCTAAGCTGTTCACACCAGAATCTTGCCTTCCTAAAATAATGTGATGAAAGGTGGACTATCTGTAGCTGTTTAGACTTGACAAACTACATTGTGTTAGAGGCAAAAGAGAGAAAATAACTCTTTAAAAATGGATATGATTTTGTACTTGCCTTAACTACTAGGGAATGGCTTAACTTTTTTAATAGGTTTTATTGATTATACTATTACCGTTTTCCTGATTTTCCCCCCTTTATTCCCCTTCCACCCTGCACCCCCCAACCCTCCAGCATTCCATCCCCTTAGTTCGTGTCCATGGGTTATACATATAAGCCCTTTGAATTCTCTGTTTGCTATACCATTCTTAACCTTTCCATGTCTATTTTATGCTTACCAATTATGCTTCTTATTCCCTGTACCTTCCCCCCATTCCTCCCCTCCCCACTGATAACTCTCCATGTGATGTCCATTTCTCTGATTCTGTTCCTGTTCTAGTTGTTTGCTTAGTTTTTGTTTTCATTGTTTCTCCTTTTTTTTAGGTTCATTTGTTGGTAGTTGTGAGTTTGTTGTCATTGACTTCACTTTCTGCTTTCCATTTGGCCTTTGCCTGTGAATTACGGTGTATAACAGTCCTGCCTCCTCAAGGCATCAGCTGCTTTGTTTGTGACCATTTTTCATTTTTTAAAAAAACTTTGTCATGCACAAGAATTTTCCTTACCCTAAAGAAATTGAATTAAAATACTAATCCCCCAAACTGGGTTTCAGTACAGGTAACGGAGCCCCAGAGCATTAAAAGAGAAACCCTATTTCATTTGACTAGATGCGGTGACCGAGTCTTCTCTCCCTTCCACACATTGTTGGTTATGTGTCTCCCAGCTGAACCCAAATAACCCCTCAAAAAGGATGCGCCTTCTCTTATGAATACTTGGTGAGAATAAAAGCAAAAAGGACATACATGCTTCCATTTTCTTTAAAACAGTCAACATCCAAAGTTTATCTTTTTAAATCTTTAATGAGGAAATTTCCACTGGAAACAGTGATTATCTAGTACCAACTATGTCAAGATGAGGGTAAAGGTCATAAAATCCAAATACTAGATCAGTGTCCCAGCATACCCACAATAATGCCATAAATGGAAACTTTGTAAAAAATTTTTGAAAAATTGGAGTCAGGAACATAACCACTCATAGACTCTTCTCCAGTGAGGAGTTCTCACTCAAGTTTTTATTGGGTTGCATCTACCTTATAGTTTCCTCTCCTGACAAAACTCAGATCCAATGCATCTGGTCCTCGATGCATGTACAAGAGGGAAGAGCTAACATGACACAGGCTGTCTCATTCCTGCTCACAGGAGCCGACACCCAGTGTAGGTGCTTGTTGCATAGCACCTGCAGGCTCTCCTCAAAACGCACTGCTGTGCCGAGCCACCTTGAGCACTTGTCAGGGAAACTGCGTGGCTTAGACTGGCTCAGGGGAACGATGCCCACTGAATCCAAAAAGACACTTGATGTCTCTGCTGACATCTTTGGGCTAAGTTGAGGGTATGACTGGATAATCATTAGCCAGGTGGATTCCTAGATATTAAAGCAAACTAAGAGAGCTGAATAACGATTCACTTTAAAATGAGGGAAACTTACAGTCCTTTAGGTGAAGACACCACAAGTTCCATAGAAGGTATTATCAAACTTACAGACAACAAAGCAAGAGTGGTTAAATATGATTAATTTTTAAAAATTATTTCAGTGCTAGGAGGAAAACCTGATTTGATAGTGGTACTCGGAAAAAGACTTGGCAGTTTTATTTGACCGAATTTCAATATAAGCTCACTGTATAGCACACCTGGGAGGGCCGCAAGAGGAGAGAACAAAAGCTTTATAAGATTGTATTGAGTCCTGGCTGGTGTGGCTCTGTAAACTGAGTGTCAGCCTGCGAACCAAAGGATCACCAGTCTGATTCCCAATCAGGGCACCTGCCTGGGCTATGGCCCCAGTTGGGGGCACATAAGAGGCAATCACACATTGAGGTTTCTCTCCTTCCCATTCTCCCTCCCTTCCCCCCTCTAGAAATAAATAATAAAACCTTAAAAAAAGTGTATTGAGCCCTGGCCAGGTAGCTCAGTTGGTTAGAGCCTTGCTCAGATACACCACGGTTGCAGATTCAATCCCTGGTCAGGGCACATATAAGAATCAACCAATAAATGCATAAATAAGTGGAACAACAAATCAAAATTTCTTTTTCTCTCTCTCCCTTCTTCCTTCCCTCCCTCTTACTTCCCTCTCTCTTCCCTCCCTCTCTCTAAAAGCAATATAAATAAGCGTGTACTGCTGGAAAAATGTAACCAGATCAAAAGAATAATGCCTCTGGACTCCAATGAGGTAAGATCTATCACAGCTAGAATATCATGTTCTAGGTGTTATATTTTAAGCAGACAATGACCAAGTATTACAGTGTTTGGCTGAGTAAGAACAGAAGGGTGATGACCTTGAGCTTCTCGAGAGAAATACATGAGAGAATTAGGGAAGTTCTGGCTGGAGAAAAATTCAGAAATGTAAGTGAAGCTCTTCAAATTCCTGAATTATATGAGAGAAAGAATAGGATGATTCTGCATTGTAGGAGAAGCCAAAGCTTAGAGAAATGGAAAATACAAGGAGGTTGTAGTTCAGTGTGAGGAAGCAGTTTCTTACAATTATTGTCAATTACAAATATATTCTGTTCCTGCTAAGGAGTATCCAAACAAAGCCTGTGGTTGCCAGGAGTGTTACAAAGGGGACTCCTTCAAGTAGATGTTTGTACTAGATCAAATTTGAGGGTCTCCTCCAGAGTTTAAAATGCAGCAGATACATAATCATCAGAAAAACATCACTCAGGTGAAATGAACATTTACATGTTGGATCTTAGAAATGGCATTTTGATGGGTTCAGCTCCCTCCTACTTCAGGGATATAGTTCAAGCATTTACAGGTGAAGCATCGCTCTCCTCCTCTAATCAGTGACTGCTTATCTGGAGGTTAGTATCAGTCTTATGA